TCACTCAGCTTCATTATTCCTTAACTCTGCACTATTTTTATGGGCATACACAGCCCTAACAGCTCTCTCAGATGCAACTACATTACGTCCTTCCTGAGTCTGCTTCTACTATTTATACCTAATCACGGGTCAAGGCACACAATCCCAATGAAAGGCCAGCATCCTCGGGCTCCAAAAAGACTATGATTTCTCTAACATATATGGTTGGGATTGGTTGGGATATCAGTGTGGCTCCAGGGTTTTATAAATAATCTTAGTTTTTCAGAAAAATTACAAAAATCATAATGGGTTGGAGAGATGATAAGCATTCTTTCTAGAGCTCTCTGCCCCTTATGTTAATTAAATAACCTCAGAAGTCAGGAGTTATTTACAGCTGAGTCATTTTAAGATACAAAGGATATTAAATCTTAAGATATCCTTTAAGTATCTTCCCTATTTCCCTGTTTTAAAAAGGTTAACTAAGCAGGTCACAGAAGTTCTATTGAGTTCTATTTGGAAGCCAGGTCTTTCTGACTCCAAGCACTAGGCAGGCTCTGTCTATAGCATGCCTTACATGGCCACTTACAAAAACACATGCTGCTCTTTTGTTTGTTTTACTGGCAGTAAGTTAAAATCAACTGGGAAGAAGTTAGCTGAACAATTGTATACACATAATCTCTTCTCCAAAGAGAACACTATTTTAGATCCTAATAAAGCCTACCATCATAGTTAAGGTTCACTATCTAAAGGACCACAACTATTTCAACAATAGTTGTCCTTATACAGAAACCACTATTTACAAAATCCAGGTCATTAAAGGTAAGTAAGCCATGGTATGGGTCACCCATGCACATACACTATAATATGATCCTCAGCTCTGACCAACAACTAAGACTATTGCTGAAACCATCCCAAGGAGCCTTGCTGGCACTTGATTCATTCACAGACTGGGTGCCTTCTATATAAATAGCACTCCTTACACAGCAAACCCTTGTAAAAGTCAAAAACAAGCCTACCATGTAATAAATTTCATTTAAGATTAAGGCCTTAAGTAGCACACAACCTTACAATTCCTATGTTATCCGAAAATGTTTCATTAGTGGGGCACCTGGGTGGCTCAGTTAGTTATGCATCTCACTCTTGGTTTTAGCTCAGGTCATTATCTCATGGGTTGTGGGATCCAGCCCCGTGTCAGGCTCCTGGCTCAGCAGGAAATCCGCTTACAAGATTCTCTCCTGCCCCTCCCTCCTCTCTCTCTCAAAATAAATAAATAAATCTTTAAAACTAAATAAAAATTTCTCATTAGTATTATATAAATTATAGCTTCTCACAAACTATCATTTCCAGTCAACTGACCAAATTTGTGAATCATTAACAAAAACGTTTAGCAGACAACTTAGTATTTTATTCTTCAATATTTCACAAAACAAAGATATAGAAGTACTTCTTATAACCCCATATTAAATCCTAAGTGTATTCTAAAACTTTAACTCCAATAGAAGTATGCCCAAAGCTTAAAAAGCAAATGATTTACAATTATGGTTTTAAAGCTCTTTCTGAAGAACACCTTAAATAATTTGATAAAAGCCTCTCTCCAAAAATGCAGATCATATAAAACTTAGCATGCCACTTTATAGCTCCCCTCAATTTAGAGGGAATTCACGAACCCCAGATAAAGACCTCTTATTTAGAAAGTTATTTACAGTTTTAAAAGATTTTACTCTGTTTCTAAATAGCATGGTCCCTTATGTAGAATTTACATTTATCAATATAAAAATTTTAATTTACCCAGAGCTTTAACTCAAAAAGACCCTTCTTCCAAATCCTTTGAATTCTTGTAATACTAAAAAGCAACAACAACAAAAACAAGAACACCTCTTGTGTCCTTGGTCCACAAATATTAAGAGTGCTCACAAGATGTGTGGCCCTGAACTAGGGATGGCAAAGAGAATTCCAAGATACTGTCAAGGCCAGTGACCTTGAGAAGTTTACAGTCTAGTTGCACAGTCTGTTCTAGTAAAAAAAAAAAAAAAAAAAAAACCCAAAAAACAAAACAAAACACCTCCTTTTCACAACTGACCATTTTGAACAAAAACAGGTGTGGCCTTTAAGCTGAAGGCTTTAAATAGGAAATGGAATACTGGGGGGGGGAGCAGAAAACAGATCCAGAGAAATTAAATTAGAAAAAAAACCAAACAAACCCAAAAGTGTAAATTTTCTAAATAACATATACCTAAGAATGTGTTTGATTTACCAGATATACCTGGCTTGAACACCTTTATAACCACTCCCACACAATGGGAACAAAATCATTAAATTAGATGTAAATTTAACAAAATCAATAATACAAAAATGACACAATTTCTATAATTATTTTCCCTGAAGAAAGTTACTGCAAACTATTTTAAGCAGCTAAGAAAAAACAAAAAAAACATGTCTGCCATGCTCTTACACTCCCGTTATCAAGCGCACAGAAGTCACTAATTAATCACACCACCTTATCTCCCTACTAAACTTCATTTCTTTCAATATAAACTTCCAATAGATATCAGGGTGAGCATTATAACTGAGTCTATTTGTTGTCATGGTAATTATTTTTCAAATACTGTTCAAATCAACTAAATGAAGCACCAAAATTTTATATATTTAATGTGCAATGAATTTATAATAAACTTCATTTGAGTTGCCTTCCAGAACACAAAATACTCTTTAAAACTTTAAATTTTTCGGTTAAAGAGAACACAACATCACAGTCAACATAACCTTAATTAGGAAAAAAAATATTCTTTTAAAAACTGTAACCCTCCACTCCCATGAAAAGAGTTCCAGAAAACTGTAATTATATTTTTTGGCAACTCTCATTTTTGACCCTATTTGAATGAAACCAGACAAAATTACTTTCTCGAGTACCAATAAAATTAAAACTAAACAAGTCTACATCATTTAGAGATATAAGAAATACAAAGTTTATGGGCGCCTGGGTGGCTCAGTCGGTTAAGCATCTGACTTTGGCTCGGGGTCCTGGGATTGAGCCCGGTCAGGCTCCCTGCTCAGCACAGAGTCTGCTTCTGCCTCTGCCCACAGCCCGTCAGCTCATGTGCACTCTCTTGCTAATAAATAAAAACCTTAAAAGTATATATATATAAAGTTTAACAAAAAAGTATAAGAAAGAAATATTAATTTTGTCCACACAGTTTAAAAGAAATACAGGTCAATGTTAACAAAACTCTAAAAAGAATATATGTGACCATTTAAAATTTATCACTTCCTTCCAAAAAGAATTAAGGTAGAACACATTCCAGAAGTAGATGATAAAGAGGGAATTAGGGGCGCCTGGGTGGCTCAGTTCGTTAAGCATATGCCTTCCGCTCGGGTCATGATCCCAGAGTTCTGGGAGCCCGTGTGGGGCTCCCTGCTCAGTAGGGAGTCTGCTTCTCTCTCCCCCTGTCGGGCGCCTGGGTGGCTCAGTTGGTTAAGCGTATGCCTTCCGCTCAGGTCATGATCCCAGAGTTCTGGGAGCCCATGTGGGGCTTCCGGCTCAGTAGGGAGTCTGCTTCTCTCTCTCCCCCTGTCCCTCACCCCCCACTCATGCATGAACACGTGAGCTCTCTAATAAATAAAATCTTAAAAAAAAATTTAAAAAAGAGGGAAATAAAAACATCCTTAGGATTCTAGGATAGCATTACCAGGTGGGTAATGCTTAGCACAAAGTAAACTAACAGGAAAGAATGAAAACCTGGATTCAGGAAGTTGTAGGAGAGCACTGTGGGTTAAATAAGAAAAAAAAAATTCCTTATGCCCCAAATCTAGCAATGAAAAATACAGACAATTCCATGCAGAAACAAGGAGGTACGAGTTTCCTAGCCTTAATAGCAGGATTCGAGTCTTTTATAAACACAGGCAAAGTTAACAGATGACAACACAATGTCAGGATTATAAACACCATAAAAGGGGGCATTTCCCGACGCCACCTCTAACCTCAACTGGTACTAATACTAAAAATAATAGCTTTGAGGAAGTATCTGTTCGTGCCCATTGGGAAAACTAAAGTATATATATATTTTTAAAGACTTTTTTAAGTAATCTCTACACCCAACATGGGGCTCAAATCCACAACCCCAAGATCAAGAGTTGCAGGGGTTATTGACTGAACCAGCCAGGTGACCCAAAAACTAAAGTATATTTTAAAATACTTTTTTTTTTTTTTGTACAGTTCTTTCAGCAGAAGCTGTTGGGTAGGCGTGACCTCAAATTATGTATATCCTACAAACCATGGACCTCCTCATATATACCTATGCAGACCTCTTCCATTATTTCCTGTAATTTTGTGTAAGGTAGTTTGAAAATGCTTTGTACTACTTTTACAAGTACAAAAGTATAATAAACATTCCTGCCCAAGACCTTTTTTTCTCCCTAAAACAGGAGTTGAACATCAGTCAGCTATAAAGACTCGAGACTATGCATAAGCCTTTAAAAAATACATTCATATGGTGCTTTTTGATTTGGACAATTCCCTCATTTGAAGTAAAATGAATTTAAAATTTGCCTAAGTTGCCAAACTGCAAACGGAGATTAAAAAGAAGACCAACTGTATTCCCTGCGACAAATATATTTTAAGTAAATGAACAGGACATCAGAAAAGTAGGGTTAATATCTGGGCAGTTATTGGTGGAAAGAAAGGCAAAAGAGAAACGAAATGCTGGGTCGCCTTTTTTCCGAGTGGCTTTAATCTTACTTGCAGCACTGAGTAGTAAACACACCACTGATTATACAGAACCTATTTGATGAATGGGAAGAGGAAATCTAAAGACTTAAAGTTCCTTCAGAGGGCCAATTAAGAAAATCCACGGTTCTCCCACTACTGAAAGGAATTAAGGGGCTGACTGGTAACGAACCCATCTTCTTCCGCTTTTCCGGTCCAGAAGAAAAAGTCTCCCAAATGATCACAGCCCGGACTGAGGCTCCAGCCTCCGGCAGTGAGTACCCAAAAGCAACGACTGGAGCCCAGACTAGGTTCTTACCTCCTGGATGCGCTTCCTGGCCCGCTGAAGCACTTCTTCGTAGCCCTTCTGCCGCAGCTCGCTAAGACTTTCGTAATACTCCTCGGGATCGTCGGTCTCAGTGAAAAGTACCTGGGAGAGGATCTTCCAGCCGCAGGTGTCCAGGCCATGGCCCAGGTAGACTTGGAGCTGATAACACAGAGTGTCGATCTCCTGTTCGGTCATCTCTGGAGCGCCCCCGAACAGCACGGTCCACATGCCAGAGGGCTCCTCGGGGAATACGGGCAGGCACTGTTCCAGCTGCGAGTTCACAGAACACAGCTGCTGGTGCACAGCACGCAGATCCTGGAAGGAGAAGAGCCCGGCCCAGCTACACTCCTCGGCCGGGGACTCCAGCTCGATAGTGGAAGGCGGCTGCTCCGCGTCTGAGAGCGCCAGGGCCGCCGGGGCCACCTCGTCTTCCCTCAACATTTCCAGCACCTCTATCTCCTCGGAAACCACCCCACAAGTGCTCACTACTCGCACGGAGGACACCGGGGCCTCCCTGGACGCCGGCGGGGGTGCTGCTGTAACGGCCCCCGCCACATCTTTGCCTTCAGATCTCCTTCGGACCGGGCTGGTCTTGGCCCGCACTGGGCTCCTGAGGGGGCTCTCCGCCCCTTTGCCGGCGGGACACCGCAGCAGCGGGTCCCCCCGAAGGCTGCGCGCGCTCCGCGGAGAGCCGCCCTCCCCCCAGGCCGGGTTCCTCCGGGGCCCCGGGCTCCTACCCAGAGTCGCAGAGACAGTGGCCTCGGGCCGGCCCTTGCCCGCTGGGCTGCCTGGCCCGCGGGTCCCGTCGGACGCGGGTGCCCCCGCCTGCTCCCGGGAGCCGCTCCTCTGCCTCTGGGCGGTCCGGTTGTGGCAGGTTATGGCAAACTTGCCCTCAATCTCGTTCCAGGCCACAATGAAGACGAACTTGTGCTTCTCGCGCTCGTCGAACACATGGGGCCGCACGGCCACCCAGTCCGACTCGAGCGTCTCCTCCAGCGCGAACGACATGGTGGCTCCGGTGCCAGGCCGCGGGGGAGGCGCCGCTGGCCCTGCCCGCTCGAAGACTCACCGGCTGGCTGCACCGCGCCCCCCGCTCACCCTCGCTGAGCGCCTTCGGCCATCTTAGCGCGCCAGCCGGCTCTCCCCGTTTACTCGCCCGGCCCTCCTCACTTGAACCCGCCGCTTTCCTTTGTGGCGGCTCGCGGGAAAGACAATACGCGTCCCCGGAGCAGGTAGTTCACATGGTCACGTGCGGCTGGATCTGTTTACAAGCCCAGTGCTGCGGCAGCGCCTCGCGCCCGTCCCGGCCGCCCCCAGCGCGAGGCCGCGGTGCTGCGTCTGCGGCTCTCGGAAGGTGAGGAGCGGGTCCTGCGGGGCCGGGCAGGCCGGTAGGCGGTAGGGGCCGGCGATGTGTGCGTCTCCGCCGCTCGTCCAGGCCGATCTCCCCGCCCCTCCTCCTTCTCCTCCTCTTCCCGACCGCCCGGAGCCGGCCTGACGGATAGACGCGTCTCCTAAACTGTAACCCTCAGTATCGCCACAATGTTGCCATTTGGCTGCTGACGTAGGTTGCTCCACGAGGGACGTAAACACGGGCACGTGCCGCACGCTGGTGACGCGGCGGCGGCGGCGGCGCGCACACCCCGCCCGCGCGCGCGCCGGCACCGCCCCTCCCCGTTCCCCGTCCCCCGCCCGCGAGCGGCCGCGAATCGGACTCCTTCCTTCCGCGCAGTCTCCTTTCCCAGCAGCTGGGGCAGGCTCTGCGGAGACTGCTGGTTCCGAAGACGGTGAGCATGGTACGTGTGTCTTGCAGGACTAGTGGCCTCTGAGCCTCCTGGGGGAAAAAAGTGTAGGAATTGAGATTTTACCAACTCCAGCCAATAAAAGGGACCCTGAAATGTAAATGTGCCTCCTTTCGCCCGGGGGGAGTCAGTATAGGTAACGCCTATATTCAGAAAGTGCTCTGTAACATAACACGAACTATATGCTAAACGTTATTGGGGTGCCCCAGACTGTTGAATTCTCTAACACCCTTGAGACACAATTTAAGATATGAAAGGGAGGTGTCCGAAGACAACCCAATAGGACTCCAAAACAAAATTAAATCAAGTGAAAATTCAGTCATGTCCTAATAATATGAATGTTTACATTTCAGTTCAGCGGCGCTTTATTGCTTCAGGTTTCATCATTGTGTACTGTTCTGGGAACTTCGTTTTGAGGTCACTGGCTTAAGCCCTTTTGAAGTTGTATTCAATTATCAGAGATCCCAGAATGTACATAGAAAAAAAATCATGTAAATTTGAAGAATTCTGTTATTTATACTGAACTATAATGAAACACATTTTTTAAATTGCTCTATAATCTAGTTTATATTAGGGGCATTCTCTTTCCTATTAGCTCCCAATTCACAGTGCAGGTATTCTGCATCCACAGTAGAGTACAATGGGAATTATTCTTTTAGTTTTAGGGATTTTTTTTTTTAAGATTTTACCTATTTATTTGAGAGGGAGAAAGAGGTAGTATGAGAGAGGAGAGGGTCAGAGGGAGAAGCAGACTCCCTGCTGAGTTGGGAGCCTGATGTGGGACTCCGGGATCATGACCTGAGCCAAAGGCAGTCGCTTAACCAGCTGAGACACCCAGGTGCCCCTATTCTTTTACTTTTGTCCATATTTCTCAAATTATGCAAAACCATTTGGATTAAAGGTGCATTGTCAGCTACACTTACTTGAGTACACTGATATCGGAATAAACAGCCAAAAATTTTGCCCTGTCGCTCAGATGGACATTGTAGACTGTAGATCTGCTTGGACCAGAAAAAAAATAAATTACTTTGGGCAGGATGAGCAAAAAGGTAAAAGGATAGGTTTTGAATTTTTTTTTTTTACAATTCTTTATGTGGAATCACAAATTTTCAAAGCATATAACTGAACTTGTGCCAACTCTCAAATGCAAATCAGAGATATAACTTTCAAAATCTGGACCACCAGCTAAGCAAACGATATCTTTTTTTTAATTTTTTTTAGTTATGTTAATCACCATATATTACATCATTAGTTTTTGATGTAGTGTTCCATGATTCATTGTTTGTGCATAACACCCAGTGCTCCCTGCAGAACGTGCCCTCTTTAATACCCATCACCAGGCTAACCCATCCCCCTACTCTCCTCCCCTCTAGAACCCTGAGTTTGTTTTTCAGAGTCCATCCTCTCTCATGGTTCGTCTCCCCCTCTGACTTACTCCCCTTCATTCTTCCCCTCCTGCTATCTTCTTTTTTCTTAACATATGTTGCATTGTTTGTTTCAGAAGTACAGATCTGTGATTCAACAGTCTTGCACAATTCACAGCGCTCACACCCTCCCCAATGTCTATCACCCAGCCACCCCATCCCTCCCACCCCCCACCACTCCAGCAACCCTCAGTTTGTTTCCTGAGATTGAGAATTCCTCATATCAGTGAGGTCATATGATACATGTCTTTCTCTGATTGACTTATTTCACTCAGCATAACACCCTCCACTTCCATCCACGTCATTGCAAGTGGCAAGATCTCACTCCTTTTGATGGCTGCATAATATTCCATTGTCTATATATACCACATCTTCTTTATCCATTCATCTGTCGATGGACATCTTGGCTCTTTCCACAGTTTGGCTATTGTGCACATTGCTGCTATAAACATTGGGGAGCACATACCCCTTCGGATCCCTACATTTGTATCTTTGTGGTAAATACCCAGTAGTGCAATTGCTGGATCGTATGGTAGCGCTAGTTTCAACTGTTTAAAGAACCTCCATACTGTTTTCCAGAGGGGTTGCACCAGCTTGCATTCCCACCAACAGTGGAGGAGGGTTCCGCTTTCTCCACATCCCCGCCAACATCTGTCGTTTCCTGACTTGTTAATTTGAGCCATTCTGATGGGTGTGAGGTGGTATCTCATGGAGGTTTTGATTTGGATTTCCCTGATGCCGAGCGATGTTAAGCACTTTTTCATGTGTCTGTTGGCCATTTGGATGTCTTCTTTGGAAAAATGTCTGTTCGTGTCTTCTGCCCATTTGTTGATTGAATTATTTGTTCTTTGGGTGTTGACTTTGATAAGTTCTTTATAGATTTTGGATACTAGCCCTTTATCTGATATGTCATTTGCAAATATCTTCTCCCATTCTGTTGGTTGTCTTTTTGTTTTGTGGACTGTTTCTTTTGCTGTGCAAAAGCTTTTTATCTTGATGAAATCCCAGTAGTTCATTTTTGCCCTTGCTTCCCTTGCCTTTGGCGGTGTTTCTAGGTAGAAGTGGCTACGGCTGAGGTCGAAGAGGTTGCTACCTGTGTTCTCCTTTAGGATTTTGATGAACTCCTGTCTCGCATTTAGGTCTTTCAACCATTTGGAGTCTATTTTTGTGTGTGCTGTAAGGAAATGGTCCAGTTTCATTCTTCTGCATGTGGCTGTCCAATTTTCCCAACACCATTTGTTGAAGAGACTGTCTTTTTGCCATTTCTGGTCCATTTCTGGGCTCTCTATTCTGTTCCATTGATCTATGTGTCTGTTTTTGTGCCAGTACCATACTGTCTTGATGATGACAGCTTTGTATTAGAGCTGGAAGTCCGGAAGTGTGATGCCGCCAGCTTTGCTTTTCTTTTTCAATATTTCTCTGGCTATTCGGGGTCTCTTCTGGTTCCATACAAATTTTAGAATTATTTGTTCCATTTCTTTGAAAAAAGTGGATGGTATTTTGATGGGGATTGCACTGAATGTGTAGATTGCTCTAGGTAGCATTGACATCTTCACAATGTTGGTTCTCCCAATCCATGAGCATGGAACGTTTTTCCATTTCTTTGTGTCTTCTTCAATTTCTTTCATGAGTATTTTATACTTTTCTGAGTATAGATCCTTTAACTCTTTGGTTAAATTTATTCCTAGGTATCTTATGGTTTGGGGGGCAATTGTAAATGGGATTGACTCCTTGATTTGTCTCTCTTCTGTCTTGTTGTTGGTGTATAGGAATGCCACTGATTTCTGTGCATTGATTTTATATCCTGCTACTTTACTGAATTCCTGTATGAGTTCTAGCAGTTTTGCGGTGGAGTCTTTTGGGTTTTCCACATAAAGTATCATATCATCTGCAAAGGGTGAGAGTTTGACTTCCTCTTTGCCGATTTGGATGCCTTTGATTTCTTTTGTTGTCTGATTGCTGTGGCTAGGACTTCTAATACTATGTTGAATAGCAGTGGTGAGAGTGGACATCCCTGCCGCGTTCCTGACCTTAGGGGAAAAGCTCTCAGCTTTTCCCCATTGAGAATGATATTCACTGTAGGTTTTTCATAGATGGCTTTTATGATATTGAGGTATGTACCCTCTATCCCTGTACTCTGAAGAGTTTTGATCAAGAAAGGATGCTGTACTTTGTCAAATGCTTTTTCTGCATCTATTGAGAGGATCATATGATTCTTGTTCTTTCTTTTGTTAATGTATTGTATCACGTTGATTGATTTGCGGATGTTGAACCAGCCTTGCAGCCCAGGGATAAATCCCACTTGGTCATGGTGAATAATCCTTTTAATGTACTGTTGGATCCTATTGGCTAGTATTTTGGTGAGAATTTTTGCATCCATGTTCATCAAGGATATTGGTCTGTAATCCTCCTTTTTGATGGGGTCTGTGTCTGGTTTTGGGATCAAGGTAATGCTGGCCTCATAAAATGAGTTTGGAAGTTTTCCTTCCATTTCTATTTTTTGGAACAGTTTCAGGAGAATAGGTATTAATTCTTCTTTAAATGTCTGATGGAGGGCGCCTGGGTGGCTCAGTTGGTTAAGCGACTGCCTTCGGCTCAGGTCATGATCCTGGAGTCCCGGGATCGAGTCCCGCATCGTGCTCCCTGCTTGGGCAGGGGGTCTGCTTCTCCCTCTGACCCTCTTCCCTCTCGTGCTCTCTCTCTCTCATTCTCTCTCTCTCAAATAAATAAATAAAATCTTTAAAAATAAATAAATAAATGTCCAATAGAATTCCCCTGGGAAGCCATCTGGCCCTGGGCT